TGGATTCGGGGTTGGGGGGGGGGGGGGGGGGGGGGTGGTTGGGGGGAACATGTCATTGGACCACGGCACACCCCCTACCACTGTCAAACACAAATGGGAAGTGGTTTGGGCGGAGAGTGAGAGCAGGGTCGGAGGAGTTGACTACTGCGTGCCGGATTTATTTCGATCTCATTGATTCGAAGAAAAAATGGCACCCAGTAGCCAACCCTCATATGATGTCTGTGTACTGACTGGCAGCGTCGAACGACCGCATACTTCCAGCAGAGGGACACACAAACAACATTAAACAAACCCTCACGGAGCTTGAAATCATCGTTTTGCCGTTCCACTTACAGACACATAGACAAAAGCACAACCATCATGTCGATGTCAGCAGCGCAAGCGAGGGCAGCTCTTGAAGAGGTAATGCAATACGCGGAGGAGGGCATCCACTACAATGACGACGGGGAGCTTCAACTACTGACGAAGAGAGTGCCGAGTTACTTCGATGTCAGAGTGAACATTCGTGCAAGCATCGCTGCGAACGGAGAGGAGTCGCTCAGAGCACGGATGCTATTGGCAAGGTTCACTGAGGCGCAAGATTTGCATGTAGACAACAGTGCTGATACCGGTGCATACAGTTTGAGAAAAGTGGTTGGTTGGATGTGCACAAAAGGGATGTCCGATGAAGGGGACGTGGATATGACAAAGCAGCAGAAGGGTGAAACATACACGCCAGTTGATTTCAAGCAGATGCTGATGACACAGGCGAAGAAATGGGAAATGCTTGTTGAAGATTTTAAGGACGAGATGAAGAGCGGTGCAAGAGAAATTTTATTGCTCTCACGTTTGAAGGACATACCGCAAGCTCCCCCGCAAGACTTCCAAGATCTTCTTGTAATTATTGCAAACGAGGTGGAGTATGTTTTACTCGACCAACTGGTGGATTTCATGAAAAAGAAACCTGACGATCGGAATGTCATACATGAGGCATTGCATGATGTGATAGACCAAGCACTGGTGGGCAAGGACCTCATTAACTACAGGGTGTGGAGTGTGGACGAGGATGTCGTATGTGGTACTCTATTGTGGGATGAAATATTCATGGCAGCTTTGCATCGCCTCAGCATTGCGACTTCTGAGGTGGACAGAAAGAGGTCAACGGAAGAAGGATGGAAGTTGGTGGCCAGGGAAGCAGATGTTGCACTTCATGCAGCAGATGGACACACTTCAGCAGGGGAAGAAATTGTGAGAACAGTCTCCATCGTGCGTTCTCCAATAAACACAATGTCCACGGAGGAGGTAGAAAAAGAAGATGTGTTCAATGAGTGGACAATGACAGAACAACAACGGGAACGAGGGTTTGAAGACTCTTCTTTACCGATCAATTTTGAATATGACATTGAAGAAACAAGAGTGAGGAATAATAAAAAAGATGCGAGGGTGCCATCATATGAGGTGGAAGTGAGTGGCAGCGATGTGAGCAGCGACGAGGAGGGTGAGGAATATGATGCCTACTGGGATATGGAAGCAGGGGGAGGACAAGCGTCAAAAGGATGGGCACATGCGATTCTTAGGTTGACACGTGTATTTTTTAATCCCCATTTACTGTTGCGTGTCGTGCTGAAGGAGGCAACACTTGAGGGCGCACTCCAGTATTATTAGTGTTCCTTTCAATGACAACAGAAAAATAATTTTCTTTTTATAAATGTTCCAAGAAATTCGTACTTATTCGAAGCAACAATGCGATTATTGTGGTACACAGTTGTCACAACTACACAAACAGGACAGTTGTGTTTAATGTCACGACTGCCCAATACAGAGGATGTGCCATCGATTATGAATGTTTCACATGTCAAGCAAGGAAAACACCACAGAAGTGTGCAATATATCGGTTGACCAGTACGTGACGACGGTGGAGAAGCTCATCTATCCCGTATGTCGACAACACATGCGCCACACTATAGTCGTATCGTCTCTCTCTCTCTATATATATCTCTATCTCTATCTCTATTTGTGTGTATGTGTGTTTGTGTGTATGTGTGTGCCTGCCACGTGTGTATATGTGTGTGTGTGTGTGTGTGTGCGCGCTCAGGAAACGAGGATATGACACTTTGAAAGAAAATGTGGCATACCTCGAAGTAAAAAGAAAAAAAAAAAGGCGAAACATTCACCACAATTCTTGATTTTAATACCACTTTGAATATTGTCGTTGTCTTGGAATCTGTCAGCAGTGCACAACAACGGTGTTGAGTCGACGGGAGGGAGAGGGGGGACGAGGGTGGGGGGAGTGTGAAAAGAACTCATGAATTTCACACCGAACTCGCATCCTCCATCTGGGATAGGTTTTAAGTGACATCACTTTGTATTTCTCGCACGCAGTTGCAATGGATGCCGCGAGTCACGTGTGTGACTGTGGGCGGTCTTTCATGTCATTACGGACGATGAACTCACACCGAGCGCGGGCATGTCCGTCCGCTGTGGAAGAGAGGAGCACGGCACAAGAGATAGTTGGGGAGGTAATCGGTGGACCGTCAAATACTGGTCCCATTAATTTGGTCAGTGGGGAAAGCGAGGAGGTTGAGCCCCCTCCCGATGTAGAAGCAGATTGCGCATCCGAAGAACAGCAAGAACAACACACAGAGGCATTTGACAGCTCCCGCAAACTTGAGGCATTATATTCTCATGTAGGGGCGGTGTGGGCATGTCCCAAACTGACGTTGACTGTCTGTTGTCACTCCTCAAGAATCCTAGATTCGACCCAAGAAATATCGCATTTCGTAACAGTCGTGAGTGTCTGACATGGGCAAGCCGCCAGGCTGAAGCTGCAGGGTGGCAAGAGAACAATCGACGCAGTGATGATTGGCCAGAAGAAGCGCACACCATTTTGTGGTACCGCGAGTGGCGCACAACGTTCGCTGACCTCATATGTGCTGCACAGCACAACGTTGAAACGGTTTCTTGCCTCGAAATACAACCTTCCGGGGAGGGGATCAACATATGTGGCTCTCGCACGGGCCAGTTGAGTCACCATGTCCAAACTGTTATCAGAGCGGACAAGGGTGTGGACACGAATGGTAAAACACGTTATGTCATCCCTCTGTCTCTGTATTCAGACAAGACTCATGTAGACGGTCGTCAAAAGCAGACACCGTATCCTCTGATGATGTCAATAGCCGATCGCGCATCGGACGCCACACTCCTTGCGTATCTTCCTGTGCTTCAACACCGACCACGTAACAAGGGCTGGGGTCTGCACGCCATCGCGTTTAGAAAACGAAAAGCTGTGATATTGCATAAAGCGTTGTCAATAGTATTGCGGTCCGCAAAGGAGGCATCCCATGACGGCATGATAGTTACAACGGAGCGGTTCGGCGAGATAACAGTCCACCCTTTCGTCATGAACTATATAGAGGACTATCCTGAAAGATGTGCCCTTGCAACTGTGAAATTCGATGTTTGTCCAATATGCACAGTGTCCAAAGACGATTTCGATGTCATCGCCGATTTCACCAACTGCAGGAGATCGCAGACGCTAGAGATGCAAATTGCTGCGAACTGCTTCAACAATGGGGACAACAATATTTGTCGTGCCGCAGAGGCACGAATGTCAGAATTGAAAATGCATAAGCATGTTCAAGAGAACGGCCTTTGGGGATTCTACAGGGGTTGAAGCGAAGCAAAATCGGTATGTTATGACAATTTGCGTGTTTATTATTTGTGATATCATCCTCCGTGCGACAGACAAATCAATTTCCGCTTGTTTCATCAAACTCATGGAAATGTACATACACGTGTTTCGTAAGTCGACCCACACTGCGACTTCTCTCGATGTATGTGACGCATTGATAGGTGATTTCATAACGAGTATAAAAACGAAGATGGGAAAATATCAAACCTCGATGACCAAGTGATACACACTCGAACACACTTGACTATCGCCTGCACATACGACGAGACGCACAGGGGCGCATACGTTCAAACGGCAAGAGCATCACCACAGTTCCACGGAAGAGCCATGCACAGCGATGTTGCAGTGAGAGGTGGGAATGACAACATATGGTATGCATCAGTAGCCATGTTTTTCGTCATGAACACTTGCACAGGGGGTATTGCAGAGATGCACAGGTGTTGTTTTGTGCAATGGTACAAAGAGGTAGATAGCGAAAGAGAACACATAACAGGTTGTAAGAAGTTGCAATGGGAGAAGGTAAACGGTCATCAACACAGTAGCGTCATAACGATTGACACCATCATCGAGATCGTTCACATTGTTCCTCGTTTTTGTAAACCACAGTGGGGCTCGAAGAAGCATGCAAAAGAGAGGGAGAACATTTTTTTGTTGAATAAATATATACTTCAGAAGTGTACAGGAAATTACAAAAAAAAAAATAAAAAAAATTCAAAGACTGAATGTTTTCCCGAGAAAAATTTATGGTGGGCGCAGTCGCAATTTTATACTACAGCATACGTTCAACTTTTGTATTTCTTTTACACAAAGAGAGAGAGAGAGAGAGAGAGAGAGAGAGAGAGAGAGAGAGAAGCGATGAACGATAATAGTCATTTTGTAAAGATGGAGTTCAAACATTGGTAGATTTTTTTCAGCGGCGACACTGTATTTCAAACCGGCACGATCATGCAAGATGGAACAACACGGTTGTGAGACTGTTTTTTTCGCACCGACAAGGTTGTGTTACACCGTTGCATAGCTTCTATGTCATCTTACACAGCAATGTAGAGAAAGGTGCATCAAAGCAGTGTGTATGACTGAGGTAACTTTAGAGTTGACTATTGCGTGCACATGTATGGTGAACGTGGACGTAAGAAGTGGCAGGTAGCACGCACTAGCCAACCTATGTCTATACTTGCGTGCGATAAAAGATCATGACGTCACAGGATACCGTCGTTCTGCCTCGCAACGAGGGGGACTGACACTGCAAATGTGCTTCATGGCCACGTGACTGCCATGTGGACAGAAAATGTTGAGGTCGAGGTAACGCTAGAACGACACTCTGCACTTGAAGAGGTGGCAAGACTGTATGACGAAAAAATAAGCGTTTTCAGGAATTGTGGAGAAGCCGATTTAGACTGACTCTGCAACCTTTGTCCATCAGCCGTGACATCTGTTGTATGACGGAGAATGAGGGGTGTTCAGATGGCAAGAATGTGGAAAAACCATTGGAAATTGCTCTTGTTACTGAATGTCGATCGGTTTTGGCAGTCACGGAGGACAATGATGGCAAGAAACGACATGTTGTGATCGTCATGGATTCCTTTCAAGCGAGCGGCCGACAGGAATGGAAGGCGTTGCGCACATTTTTGTTGTATGAATACCTCAACGAGGGAGACAAAGCAGGGGTGTCGACTCCCGAGACCGTGGACACATCGTGGGTGACATGCAGATATCTACTTGGATCTAACATAGTATATGCGGAAAATTCGCAACAGACGAATACGTCAGACTGTGGTGTTTACGTTTGTTGCGTGGCAGCTGAATTGATGCGAAAGCTAGCAAACATGACTAAGGGAACGAACATAACCGCAAAATATGTAACAAAAGTTGTTAGCGCGATGGAGGTCAACGAACGAATGGTCGAGAGATTTCGTCCGTCAATGGTACAGCGCTTTGCGCAGTGTGTTGCAATGGCAAACGGATATAACACCGCAGCAGCGTGTGATATAGAAAATGTCTTCAGAGATCTGATAGACGGCGCACGGAGTGGAAGTCCGTAATTACAAGGGCATGATAGAAACCCGGCATCGAAACACGAAGTCGACACCCGCGTGCAATTATACAAAACTTACATGTCGTAGAGAAGCCAATCGGCACGAAGTAGCCAACTTGTGCATGTTACTTGATGGATGAATGCGTGATGTATCATAAAAAAAAAATGTCGTCTTTCATGTCACAACGACAAAAAATGTTCGACTCTCTCTCTCTCTCTCTCTCTCTCTCTCTCTCTCTCTCTCTCTCTCTCTGCGTGTGAAAACCTCGCATACGGTGGCGGATGACAAAAGGTCGTTCCATGTGCCAAAATCATTCCGTGTCTAACGTGAGTGTTTGTGAATTCGTGCATGTCAGAAGCTTTTCATAAGGCTAAAGAAAATGGCTCCGAAGCCAAGGTACGAGGATCTGTGCAAGTCCTTGAAGTCTACAGGGAGGAGAGAGAAGGGGGAGAGGACAGCAAAGGAAGACAAGAAGACAGTCAAGCAAAGACATAGCATAAGGGATATTCCCCAATTCAAGAGNCAGCAAAGGAAGACAAGAAGACAGTCAAGCAAAGACATAGCATAAGGGATATTCCCCAATTCAAGAGACAGGAGACGAACACAGTCCGCAGGACAGAAGCAGTGCTCTCTATCCCGCTGCGAAAAAAGCAGAGTGGGAAACTGGTCGAACACAACAAATCACCTGTCGTGAGTCCCTTGCGGCGGAAGAGACACGACGACAGCGATATGCAGCCTAGAACGCCAGAGAAGAAAAGACGAGAAGAGAAAGCACAGCTGCAACAACAGAGGACAAAGAAGAGAATAATATATATAGAAAAGACAGGACTCTTGAAGCAATCGACCTCAGAGGGTAATACGATTTACGAACCACCGCTCAGGAGGAAGGCGAAGAAGAAGACTTCGGCGAAGAAATGTCAGAAGAAGTAGAACATGAGAGAATGCAAGAACGAGGAGAATGTGACAATAGTGACGCTGACCATGATGCCGATGCAGAGGAGAGGAATCCGGAGGGAGATAGAACCGGCGACAACGCGGACAGATCCGAGGAGGGCGAAGAGGAAGAGGAAGGCAACAGTGAAGACAAAAAAAGAGAGATTACATCTGCTGAAAACAATGCAAAATGCGGAACTGGTGAAAAAAAAGCAGGCGCACTAGAGACTTCATCGAATGACAAACAAATTATGCAGAGGGAGAATGTACCGCTACAGGGTCAGATGATGGGCGCCTTACAAAGACACCACTATGTGTGCACAACACAATCGTTTTCCGTGCTGCAGAAACGACCAGGTTCACT